GAGCCATTTCCGCTTCACTCGAAAGTCAGTACAGTAGCGGATGCCTCTGGGAAACGGGGCGGATACAGACTGCAACATACCTATCGAGACTCGTTTGCGTTCCCCTCCAGAGACCCCACGAACGAAGTCATTTCCAACTTTCGTGTTATAGGTATGGCTCAGGCCAAATACTGCCATGATCACCTGTGCTGCGTACTTGGCATGCTCGTCCCGGGACATATCGCGGAACCGGTGCGAGGGAGTGCGAGCGGCGGCTGCAAACTCGAGTGTTTGTCCCACAGTAAGATGGGGAAAGTGCTTATCTACCTGCGGGGAAAAACAGTTGAGGTTGGCGCAAGCGCATGTGTGAGTACGGTTGCTGCCGGCTTACCTCCTGGTTGTAGACAACTTCGCCTTTGAACTCTTTCATCATGCGTGCTTGAGAGACGCCTTCATAACCCCCGTTAGTGACAAGGAATAGCAGCAGGGAATAGTCCAGAAGGCATTGGTACCGTTGTAATGTAGAACACTTGTCTGATCAACTTCAAGTCCATGAGTCTCGCCGCAGAGTGTCTTGAGGAAGGTGCTGCAGCCTGCTCCTGGACGCCCAAGTACCAGCAACAGCTCCCCACTCTTCATCAGCCCATTGAAGGACTTGAGAATCAGTCGAGATGGGGAATGCCTCTGACGAAGCAGTTCCGGAAGTCGCAAGGGGGTTGCCAAGGTTGAACCAACCGTGTCCTGTAGCTGAAGGGCAGCCCCAGACCCGGAGACATTCAGTTGTTTGAACACAATTCCAGCCTGGGGAGGCGAGAGGCCTCTCCCTTTGGCGTCTGCCACAATAGTTCTGAGCCATTTTTCCAGGTTAAAATCCACCGACTGCGGATCCAACGCAGGGTCATCCTCCGCTACAGCGGGCGTGGTATGCGCTTCTAGAGCGCCTGCGTCTGACCGTCTGCGCGATTTCTCCGACTGCTGCGTAGCAATCCGCCTCAGGTTCTCCGTCTCATCTGGTCTGATAAGGTCCATGGGAGATCTGACCGTAGATTCGTAACTGACTACCTCATCTTGAGAGCCGGGGTTCTCAAATAAGGACTCGTCCTGACTGTGGGCGCTCATGGTGTGGTCGTGCTTGACCAAAGATACACCCAGGCAGGTGAAGAAATAGGAAAAAAGTATCTAATTGCACCCAGGACCGATCAACTGGCCGGTACCTCTGTTTCAATACCTTGTCGAACATCAATGTCCCAGGCCGTGAGCGGGGGATGTAGTTGACTATTAAGACTATTGTTGTCAGAGGGTTCGTCTTCCTTAGTCCGGAAGTTACCCTTCCGACAAGTACAACAGATATTCTCAGCTTTCATTTTCTCCGAGTATAGGAGTATGAAGACATCCCTCGGATACACAGGTGGCACCGCGAGGGTGATAGTCCGTCTTGCATCCATTTCGGGTCCAATTGTAGGTCAAATCGGGAATATCGAGTACCGAGACCGAGAGGCGCAGTCTCCAATTCGACCTAGAGGACCCAGGATTCAACGGTGTACTATTGACAGATAGATTTTGCATCTTGCACGTCGGTCTGGTAGTCGAGTACACAAATAGTTGGATGAGGATCTAGTAAATGCTTGGCAATGCCACAAGTCCGCTGACTCAGCGCCTTTACCCCATAGTTAGTTAACCCCGGCACTAACTGGATATCGACAATACAAAGACGCAACTGTTCGGTCAGTAAATCATCCATAATGACGGGTCGTTCGGCAATCGGGACACCTTTCTATTCTTCCGACGCCTGGAACTGTCCATATCTTCTACATGCTCGGAATACGCACGTTGCTAGTCCAGGATCCACACAGTGTCAGATCAATCGATCATTAAACTCAAAAGCTGATGATTAAGCGGATTCCGGTTCCTCCTTATGCCGGAGTACTGAGCCAATGGACATAACTCACTCTGTAAGTGCGCTAAATAAACCATCGCTATTGAGTAATCGGACCTTGCTGATTCTTCAAGCTGTAATGGACTTGGCTGAGGAGGAGAAAATAACACACTTGTCAGGTGCGGTTGCTTTCCACTGGTCGAAGAGTGGCAGAGGCGGCATCATTGCGGGTACTTGTCTTGCTTAGACTGGTGGTGACCATATCCCTGGAATATAATTCCTGGCCGAACAATATGAATCATCTTGCAAGTGTGATTCCCGTTCAAAGGTTGAATGGCAATGCCGGCGCGAACCGCCCACGCCGAAGCCGACGTACATATGCTTGCGACTCTTGCAGCATCAAGAAGGTCTGCCCCCGGCTATGGGTCGAATAGTCTAGATATTCTTCTAACTGGTGGGATCTAATATCCCTTTTTTCGTCTAGATCAAATGTGACCGTGCAACTCCCCAGTGTGACTGGTGCTATCATCACAACATCCCCTGTACCTTCACGCGCAACCGGGATTCCTCGCGCTCATCCTTGCGCCAGCCTCGGAGTGAGAAGTATGAACCTCCGATTCTTCTTACACCTCTTTCTATTCATACCTGATAGCTACCTTACATCAACGGTGATTCTTATTGACTCGATTTTCCAGCAGCAGTTCACCTTCCCCACATGCCAATAGATCTATGAGACACGGTATGTCTGTAACGGACCCCTCAAGTTCTACCCCGACATTGCGTGTTTCTGATTATTCTAAACTTTTTCATCTGATGAATAAAAAGGAAGGAAAATTCTGCCCGAACTACCTGTTCCAGAGTACGGTCCCCAGGCTGTGGCGCCCCAGGGTTTCGGGGCCGATATATGCCTTGCAGGACAGACTCTAGGGAATATTTGTGGATTCAATGGCCTGCCTTTCTTCTCTCCAAGCGGCTTGGAATGGATTCGAGCCCGTACTGGAGAGGACGGATCTCTAGACCGATATTGCACCATGAGGCCCATTACCTGGCCACGGTTAGCCGAGAAACGTGCTGGCGAGGGCGACCGCCGATTATCGCTGCCGGATAAATCGCTTCTTCTCGAACAGATGGAAGCTTTTGAAAAGTCAGTTTGCGGCCAGATATTACCTCTTGTTAACCGAGCATGTTTTGAGTACACTATCCGAGCGGCCTACGAAAAGGAATTGTCAGCCATCTCGCCTGGGCTTTCCAGCGCCAGGGTATGTATATTTGCCTTTATGGCCCTGAGTTCATTCTTCGCTGGCCAACCGCATGTTGACAAAATCGTGACTGCCGATGAATATGCCCGCGAGGCCCAAGATCTATTACCAGAGATGCTCAAAGAGTCAGTAACATTGGACGGGTTGCAGGCGCTGGCCATGCTGGTAAGACCTTTTTGACTACTTCGATCACTCCCCTGTGCACAGCGTTCTCCAAGCAGTGATTTGAAGCTAACACCTTGACAAAAGTGCCTCTGCTGCCAGGCCACATCTGGAGATATGCTCAGTGTAGAGCTTATGTTGTCCACGGCCACACGCTTCGTCTTTCACCTCCAAGGCAACGTCTACCCCGAGGATATAGAGAGTGATCCTCTGCGTGTAAAAATGCACGTTAGGAATCTTTTCTGGTTCTGTTTCATCCACGACAAGATCTTCAGCTTGCGCACAGGCCTTCAACCCATTGTTGACATTATGAATTGCGATCTAACGCTTCCTCAAATGCAGTCGATGAATGGCCAGCTGGAAAGCTTGCAGCCTTTCTACCCTCAACTCAACCACACTATGTTTCTCACCCTTATTCGCCTGAGTCTAGTTCAGTCGAAGATCTATCATGGACTGTACTCCTTCTCCGCCCAACGCCAAAGCGATGCGGATCTGCTAGCTACGATCCGCAGCCTGGACATCGCGCTGGACGAATGGCGGTCTTCGGTGCCCGCGTTCTCGGGCCTATCTATACACCAAGAGAATCGTTTGGCCGAGTTCCTTTTTGAAATGCAGTATCACTACTGCATGGCTGCCATCCATCAGACCAGCAGCCGGTGTACAGCCTGGGTTCGGAACCAGGACACCCGCGCGGCGGGCTCGAGTCTTGCCCTCAGTGTAGCAGCCAGTCGGTCTGCGTTACGAAAGTTCCTGGAAACGGATCCACAGCGCGAGGGGCAATTTCTCTTGTAGGCGACCAGTCGTATGTTTGGATTGATGTCCCAGATACTAATATCCCTGAAAGGCTTGGCTTACCAGAGCTCTCCACATCTGCCATACACCTTTTCTCGAATATCCTGATGAGTCCTCTGGAGGATCGAAGCGATACTGACTTATCGTTGATGAGAGAAGTACTTGAACATATTGGGAAGCACATATGGAGGCAGACGCCAACCACATTTATCGCCCAGGTCAGCCTTGTGGAAGAGTTTATGGGCGACCTATATCATCTGGCTGAGATGGCAATTCTCAAGGCTCGACGGGAAAATGAACATTAATACCAAGGCATACACGAATCTCAAAGCTCCAATCTGTTCAGGTCTAGCCTTTTAATTTTACCTTTCTTTCGTCTCTCACGGTGAGATAGTATTAATCAAGGAACCACTCGAGCAGTCAAAGCGCAATATTGCACCACGCGTACGCCAACCCAGGATCATGTCTCTCGAGGTCAAGCTTTTTGTCCAACCCGGCACTACTTCCCGCACTTCGGTTCCTGAAGTAAAACACATTCTGTGCACCATCAGGCAACCACATGCTGAGACCACGTTCTAAGCTTTGCCAAGCTCATTGGACTGCCGGGGTTTGGCAATGGCTATGTCCGTCGAAGCTTAACTAGTCCCACAACGGCGGGCAACCCACTTTCTATTCGCGCTGAGCATCTCATCCAATTTTAAATGGGATGAGCTTCGGCAAATTATTGTGATGATAGATGGGATGAGCTTCGGCAAATTCTCCAATGAATAGCAACGTTGCCTAGTTCCGCGCAGGGGCCTCGTGGATGTTGTTCGATTCCTCATCCCTCCCGTGTTGTGAATAGTATTTATTGTGCAGTCGACCATCTCGCAGTCGTTCTACACATCAGCACCGGCTCATACACTTTTTCCAGTCTCCTCACGTCCATCGTCATGGCAAACTCCAAGAAGATGACTCTCGCTTTGGCGAGCCTGGCCTCGACTGTCCTAGCCTCCACTGCCCCTGCCAAACTGACAGTTGGTGTCGTCGGTGGTATGATCATTACAGCACCCTGTACCACAATCAACTCAACACACGCTAACAATGATACAAGACTTTGGATGGACAGGTTGGAAGCCCGCTCCCCTGTCGTTCTGTAACGATGTCATGCCCCGCCTGATCGCCAAAAACATCACCATCCCCCGGGAGGTCCAGAACGACTGTGACCCGGGCGACCGCGCCGCCGTCACCAACGCAACAGCTCTACAAGGCAAGTCTCGGCAACCGATTCTCCAGAAACTCAAAGCTTGCTTTCCTAACACTCGACCAGCCGACACCGCCGCATACATCGGCAAAGTCTGCGAGACGAAGAATTGCAGCGCCTTCGTCTCCGTCGGCGACAACTTCTACGACAGCGGCGTGGACTTCACCACCGGCGGCATCATCCGCTTCCAGGAGGCTTGGGTAGACATGTACCGCGGCGGCGTCTTCGACACCGCCACCTGGTATCAATGCCTGGGGAACCACGACGTCGTCAAGGGCCAGAGCGGCGTGGACTTCGAGACGAAGGTCGCGCCCCTCTACGACTCACGCTGGTACTTCGGCACCACCGGCCAGCCATACTACACCTACGACCTACACGGCGCAGACTGGACCGCGACATTCGTGGTCGTAGACTCGGACTGTTTCATCGAGAAGTACCAAAAGAGCACATCGGTCTACCAAAACGAGTACACAGCCAAATGCCACGCCGAGCGGGCCACGCAGGTCGCCTTCCTGGAGCAGGCCTTCGCGGCGTCCAAGGCCGAGTGGAAATTCCTCCAGCTTCACCACGGGTACATGTCCGCGGCGACGAACAACACCGACGTTGCGCCGCTGATCGCAGTCGTCGAGAAGCACGGCGGCGTCGTCCTCAACGGCCACGATCATTGCCTCGCGCACTTCTACAACAATAACACGAACTTCATCCTAGCCGGCGGTGCGGGATACCCCGAGGTTGGAGACTGTAACAACGGGGTGCCTCTGGGCCCGTACACCAAGTGGCTGGGCGCGAACTCGCAGTCTGCTGCCAATGGATTCGTCACGATGGACATCACCCGCGAGGAGGTCAACGTCGAGTACTATGCCCGGGATATGAAGTTTGAAGGAGGGGATCTCTACCCTGTCAAGAATGATATGACTCCTTCGTATTCATTCAAGATCAAGACCCATGCTAGGTGATTGTGTCTCACTGTACTTAGTCATCGCCATAGATATGTTGCCGAGAAAAACTATGAATGGACAAGTCCCAGTGACCTGTAAACATGCAATATGTTCCCACGCAAACATTCAGACTACTGCAGCAGTTGGATTGAATTTAAATTTAACATCTGCAGTGGTGGGTAGTCATTACTTTGCTATCTGGTTAAGGTAGACATGAGTGCTCTGTACTTGATGGTTTGCGTGCAAATACCGACTGTATCAGCCCAATACAGCTCTCAAATAGCACTGTTGCAGCTGACGATCTCCCTTACACCACTATTAATATCTCAACTTAAAAAAATCTGGCAAATATGTTGAGCTCAAAGGAATAGCATAGGGCTTGCCGTGGTATTCTAAGGAATTTAAGAGACAAACGCGTTTCAACACAGACTATACAATCCCTCGACTCGCATGACAGGGGATTAAGAGGGTACCCAAAGCCTAAACGATCGCCATTTATTCGTGAAAACGGACATAACTGCCATAGAGCCAAATCGTCCCCAACCATTATCTCGAACGCCGTGAAAATGCAGAAAACGCCACACTACTGAGCCTGATAGACCTTGAAACTCTTAAACTCCCAGTAAGCCTCGGTAAGATTGGCAGGACTGCGCGCAACAAAACTGCTACACGTGCCGGGACAATTGTATAATTGGGTGTAGAACTGAGGCTGTGCGCCCAGCTGGCCACAGAGATCAATATTGGCGATGATACTCTGGTTGCTAAAATGGGACGCGATATCGCAGTTGGTATTGGGAAAGTCGGCCAAGGCAGTTCCCCAAGTCGATGGATCTGGTATGTTGTCTGAAACGTCGTTTGGTATCGAACCTCGAGGGAAAAACCAAGCCCGGATGCCAGCAGTGCGGAGCTCCAGAGCATAAACCTGTTGTTTTTTTAGCATGTTGAAGAAAACTGCCCTGGACAAAAAGACTTACACCTCCCCCATTGTCATTGAACTCTGGGCCATAAGAGGCCGGTGGAGCTTGGACGCCACAGCCCGCATTGCCATGAGTGCTATTGTCACACTGGTGGTACAGCGCATGCCCTGTCTGCTTCCGTTTGGCCTTCATGTCACAACCGGGGGTCGTATGCAGGGTTACTGCGTTCCCTTCAGTGCCACCGTTGTTCGCCTCCACAACATCAATCTCGCCATTCAGTGGCCAATTGTACGTATCACTGAGCCACAGAGCGGGCCACGTCCCGCAGCCATAAGGCGTATGGACGATGTCAAAAATGAAAAGGCCAGTGTCGTAAGACCTCTTGGACTCCAGCCGAACCGACCGTCTGCCATTGCTGGGAGAGTCTGTAGATGTATCTACTCTCAGAATGACAGAGGATTCCGTAGCATAGGTCAGGTTTAGCTTTCCAGCTGTGATCCTATCCACATATCTGCTCGACAATCAACCCAAGCTCTCCAAGACAGAAAACAGAAGGGCGCACTTACTGCACAAACCCATTCGTGGGATCCTTATCCGAGAAATAAATGAACTTATCCAGAAACGTCGGTCCCGAGTACGTGTCCAACAATCTGTAGTCAAGCCTTGAATAATCGGGATACCGATTGGCCCTCGTTCCCTCCACGGCCCCTACAATAGCACCGATAATAGCCACGACAATCACCGCGCCCGCAATGAGCTTCGCGCGCAGCGACCAACTGTGAGGATTCCACCATGGTTTAGCGGCCTCAGGCGAAAAATTATCTTGGACGCCGAACGAAGCAGGCTTTAACGTCTGGTGCTCATCCACTCCGAAATGGCCGACCTGCGTTGATACACCGCCATATCGACTGTAGTCGTCGGCGGTGCCGCTGTACGGCTTTTCAGCCATATGCTGCGGGTTTTACCTCGAGTACACGATTAGCGGAAGTCAGAAGGCAGTGGATACCAGTAACTGAATCCGAACGAGGCTGAGCTAGCGTATAATGAACGGAGTTGGCTATGAAAGAGGTGGAGTGTCATGAAAGAAGCCGCGAGGAAGTAAGGGATGTCGTCATGCACAACATGAGAAGCAGCCACCGATCATATCCAAATTAGGAAGCCGGCATGCACGGCTGCGTGCAGCAGCACGAGATGTGCTACATTGCACAGTCCATAAATTAGGATTGAGTCAAGCAGCCCTGCGCGCTTGGCCCAGAATTAAGTCATTCAGGGATCCTTTCATCCTTTCATTTGTATCCAATGTCGACTAAGTACGGAGTACTCTGTACATTAAGCCAAAAGATCCACCAGATGTACCGTCTGAATGTAAATACTGTGGTCCCTGACGCTAGACCCAAAACAGACACGGCTTCCATATCCGGACAGGTACCTGACACTACTAAAATTTCATAAAGCAGTGTATTCTTGCTTTTTGCAAGACAATAAATCCAGAAAGGCGTCTCCACCCTAACAAAGGCGTCACTAGTTAGAAAGTAACAGAGCAATTGTTCAGGGGACTGCTCATCAATACTTGAGTACACAGTAATACGTAATAGTGGCAGGGGCGAAGCAAAAGGCAAGAAGAAAGCGAAGCTTCCGCCAAGACCAACAAGCCCTTTCTCTGGGAAGCAATCACCCAGTCAACATCAAAGAAATTACCGCAAAGCGGCAATATAGACTCCTGCACTGTATGACACTCTCTGTCGTAATCCCAACCAATCTAGAAGTATTGATTATTGTTTTACTAACCTCGCATCCTCCTTATGAGGTAATCGGGAACGGAAAATGTCTCACCTCGAAGTTTGACTTTCACTGTGGATAAGGAGGTGTATAAGTACAGGTACTCCATACAGAGTACCTCCTACCGTTTGCATCATGCGGTGCAACTTGCAAATATCAATTAAGAAAATATCAACTAAGAATTACCATTCCATGGCAGCTAATTTCGAGTCAAAGGCAGCCATTACAGCGTAGATAGAAAGCTGCGTGAAGTCCCTTTCCAGATTCAATATCTTGAGATCCGTTTCATTGATTGCTGCCTGGAGTCGGCCCACTTGATTCATATACAACGCTTCGCTAGCTTTGGACGATCTCTGTTTCAGCTGTCTCAAAAGACTGGCAGATTTTTGTAACATACTACTTTGTCCCAGTTGGTGTGAAAACTTATTGGTCTCCCAGAGCTTTAACTTGAAATGATCATGATCACGAAGACAGCCAGCTGTGTTGCTTAATATATAGGTAAATGGTCAACCATATCTATTTGAAAACAATATCTCCCGCCGTGAGGATATCGGACACATGAAATAACGACGACAAAATCCTCGCCAAATAACACAGACGCTCAATAAACAATCCCCCATATATGTGTGAAGATTTCGATTAGTATGTGCAAATCAAACAGTACGGCACCAGACACCTGAAATGTGTCAAGCGACCCATATAACTAAATAGTACTGATCTATCCATCGTCCAAATGTCAAACCCCTACCGCTGGGATCTCTGGGATTTTTGCGACCGCATTGTCGAGTGCCGGCGGATGATATTGTCCGCGTTTGTCCATGGCGTTGCACCCCTCTCCTTATCCTCGGCGCCTGTTGCGGCACCATTGTCTGTCCGCGCTTGCGAATAAGTTCGGTCCATTCCAGACATGGTACTGAGGTTGGAGACACGCCGACGCACTCGTCTCTCTGCATCCTGCACATCCTTGTTTTTAAGAGATTCCGATGGAAGCAAGATTGCACGGTCGAGGGCGTATGGGAGACCACGGTGTCGACCACGAATTTGCATTGCAATGATAACAAGCTTTGACAAAACCTTGAACTGGCCACTGAAAGACGTGTTGACACCTGGATATCCGAATGACAGGCCCACGGTACCGTAGGCGGAGACAATTTCAAAAAGCACTGCCCACATCTGGAAAGAATAGTCGTTTTTCGACTGGAGGCGAGTGCCCTCCACTATGGCAATTACGAATAGCCCGAGAAAGACATACCACAGGTCAAAACTCAGCTGCCTTCTTAAATGGAACCCGATGTAACTTGGGGGGTGCTGTGGTTCGTCCGAGTCTTCGTCCTCTCCACCCGCATAAATGCCAAGACTCTTCTCCTCGTAGACATTGGTTCTTCGCATGGAAATGGCGATGGGGAAAACCGAAATATACATCATAATCATGTAGGAGACCTGAATTGCAGGATGTAGGTCCGCTACACTCACCACACCAAATCCAGCAGTCCGTGTGGATGCTGCTTGGAAAAGGCCGTCAAGTACCCGAATGCCCGGTGACAAAGAGGTAACCGTCGGATCGGTCAAGTCGAGAATAATGAAGAAGACCAGGTCAATTATGTTCAGCGCCACGAGGATAGCGAACAGCCACCAGGTCGCGTTTCGCGGGAAGAGTAAGGTAAAGCATCGGCGAGGATGATCCAACAGAAACTTGAGCTCCTCCCAAACGGCGCTTTCGCGTGGGACGATTTTCGACAGAACCCAGATGATCAATCGGAGCATACAAGGAAAGCCGGTGTTGCCAATAATGATAAGAAAAGTCATGAGGAGAAGAGGAAATATAGCTGTTTGGAACGAAGTCATGGAGTCCGGTGTCAGCGTGAAGCCGACGTCGTTGAAAGCAGATGCCGCGGTGAAGATGCCCCACCAAGGGCGGCCTTGCCCGATTTGCTCCACGACCTGACCCCAGTGAGTGGTCATAATCCAACCGACAAGACAGACCATTCCCAGGATGTGGAAGAAGAGATAATAAGAAGTGAGTACGATGGCCAGAGTCTTCAAGGCTCGATATTCGATACCTCCCAGCTCATCACGCTGTTCCTCGGTCAAATCAACGAAGTTGGAATTTCGTGCAACAGTAGCGTTCCAACTGAGATATGGAAGTGTCGTACGTTCCCGCTCGTGGGTCAAGGAGCGAACAAGATTGCTAAGGGTAGGGCGTCGTGACCTTGAACGTTCCAGGGCGGATGTATCGTTCAGATCTTTCGTTTCACGAAAAGTGGGACGAGTGTCTAGACGGGGGAACGTCGAATTTCTGGTTCTCGTCTGCTGTATGTCCGGTTCGTTGATGGTGATGTGCGGGCCATCCAGCGGTCCCACTTGGTCGGACTCTTCCGAATTCCGAGAGCTCTCTTCGTCAGACTCGCTGCTACGCGTCCGCTTGGATCCGTCGCCTTCGTCGTCTGCTTCCTCAAGGACCTCGGGGACGCCGCCGCGGTCATACTCCCGAGGGCTGGGAATGCGCAATGCCCCTTTATTCTTCCGTTGATTCTCCAGGAAAGCAATGTGATGCTCGGGACTCAAGTGCGTCGGCACCCGAAGGCTGCCCAAGCCGAGCCCTGAAGTGCTATTTAGACCATCCGCTTGAGCCTCCGAACTGTCCGTTCTATCAACTCGGGAAGGCGAGCCTGGAGTCGATCCGTACTCGGGGGTTCCAGCAGCCGCCTCACGACCTCTTTCATTGGATCCCTGTGTATTATTGCGCAGCACAACGATCTGGCGAGCGCCGATGCCAGCTTCCTCCCTTCCCAGTGAAGTTGCATCCTTATCTTGACTCATGGTTCGCATTCGCGTCTGCGTCCTGGTATGACGCATCGCTCGAGTATCCTGGACAATGTGTTGAAACCGCTTCTCGAACCAATACAGCCGGATGAAGACGAGGATGGAGTGGATGAAAATCGGAGTCGTAAGCATGGAACTGAAGTAGAGGATCACCTGCTGGTACGTTTTTAACTTGTTGAAATCCACCGTGTTGAGACCGCTCTGAGTTGCCGCGCCGGAACAAAAGAAGAGGATGTCAATATAGGCAAAATCACCTCCTGGATAAAGCATAATGGAAGTGATCAGTGTCATGGCGATAATGTAAATGTAATGCACTGAGATAAAGTTGAGATGAAGCCCGCTTATCAGCGGAATGCGGGACTTCATCGAGGCCAACCTCCGAAGTAGCGGAGTATACATTGTGGCAGGAACTGGACGACAACGGGCGTCTCGCAGAGACTAATCGATCCTGTCCACGAAGAACCTCTGCGATCAAATAAGCCGTCGACGAGACTCCCTGAGAACGAAGAAACGAGATATGTTCTTCGAGGAGGGGGTTGAGTTTGAAAGGACGTTGATCCGCCGCCACACGAGAGATCTACGGCACGAATTCCGTCACTGCAAATCTCCGAAGCTGCGCGCAAGTTATGGATGCAGAACAAGTCCCAGAACCAACCAGTGTTAGCCTCGAGTCACTGGAAAGTAGTAGTTCAGGAGAAGGCAAGCAGTCATGAAAGCCAAGAACATTGTGGAGCAGGACAAGCAGGCAGAACTGAATTGAGAATCGCGGTGGCCGCAGAGGCAAGAAAAGGCATAAGAAAACCAAATTCAGTGCTCAGATGGATATAAAAGAGAGAATTTGGGAAGAGGAGAAGTGGAAAGGAGATTTGAGAAGAAATGGTAATGGACAGTCGTCAGACTAAGGAGAAAATTGCGATGGGCCGGGGTCGATCCAGGAATAGGTTAAGACGGTGAGAGAGAGATTTTGCCTATCAAAAAAATCAAAATAAATCCTAACATTACAATGGAACCGAATAATTAATTAATTAATCGCTCACTGGGGGCGTCGATTTGTGGGTCTGCCGAAATAAATCCAGATTCCAGACTCGAAACAAAATCCAAGTACGGAGTAAGCTTAGTGTATTATTATTCTGTTCCATGTTCACTTAGAGAGATGTAGCTGACTCCTAAACTGCTCAACTGCTCAGTGCGCACACCTACCAGTAGCGGTAATGGCCGAGGGATGACCAGTCCCGACCATCGGGTCAGCACAGTGATGGCTGCGACCGGCCGGACTGGACCATCTGGTATGTCTGAGGAATGGGTACTCCGTGTATTGTTACGGTCTTGGCTGCATCGCTTTGATAGCGGCTGTGTTCTCGGCATGGCCGTACAAGGATTTGTGCATATATCACTGTACTAATATCTGCAGCTTGCTGTCATGATGATGATTATCCTGGGTAATATCAATCCTGCTATTGATAGGTTGAAAGATATCACAATAGAAGTAGTATACACTATGCAAGCCACTGATAACAACTGCTTACAAGATAAGTTTTCTACACTACTGATGAAACACCTACAGGCAAAGTCAGGGACGGTAACTTACGTCCAATACAAATTAAAAATACCTTGACTCTGATTTGTGACCTGGGAGTTCAGTTCCTTCATATCTTTTTGCAGTTTGCCTAGGATGTTTCAAGTGGGGAAGCGCTTGACTCTCGGTACCACAAATACGCACTCTAAATAGATTAAGCTTTGGCCTGTAATTTGATTGTTGCACTTTACAGAGCACAACCCGTTTCAGTCTACCTAGGTACCTCCCTAGCGTCTGAGACAAATTGTCAGCTCAGGCTTTTGTTCTCTCTTTATCAACATTAGGAAAGATAAATGCCTTCTCCATATTCTAAGATCCGCTTCCCAAGATCTTCCCAGATTGAAAGTTTAGTTTGGTTAGATTGTTCTGCTGCGGCCCGCATCACAGCTACTTTCTGACAGGCGGCCCTGGGGAAGCCGAATCATCCCGAAGTACCCCTAGCCCATAGCTTACTGCCCGTTACTACTGGCATGAACTGAGTAGTATGTTGAGCTGCTCTTGATTAAGGCATGCAAGCTTCGGTTAGTGGCTGAGGTCAAGCGACTTTGCAGCAGATCGAAGAAAATAGGTTTCATTGAAGTAACGACCCCATCCCATGCACCTGGTCATGCAATGCCACATGCACAAGTACAAAAGTGATCAGCGCAGGACATGTTTGACAGGAAAAAAGGGAAAAAAAAAACCCCCCGAAAATAAATCTATTAGCGGTCGCACTCTCACTCAGGAAACAGACTGCAAAGGCTAAATCTCATAGCACGACACGACCAATCACTCTAGCCTCCGATCCTCAATCTTGCCCACCGCTTATTCTAATCTTCACAGACCTCAAAAAGGTGACGCAAAATGCGAAATCCTCAGAATTACCGGCGCAAGCTCCGGCAACAGCAGCGGTAATCGTCTCGGCTGCCATCCCTCCTCGATGGGTAAACGCTCCTCGCCAAACAGCGCTTCTATATACTCCTCCGGTACACGATACGGGAAGCCCCGACCAAATACACACTGAACGGCCCCCAGCTCCGCGCATCCACTAAAGTGATTGGTCCTATCGAACTCCAAGGCCGGGTTGTCTCTCTTCTGCTCGTCGAACCGAGCCTTGCGATACTTACCGAAATCCGACGAGCTGAAACCCTTCTCTGTTTTGGGGGCCGCGAGGAATCGCTCCAGAAGGTCTGGGTTCACATGCATGCAGTCGCCCAGAGCGCGGTCCTGTCGGGTTACAGAGACGTCGTGCTCCACGGCGTGAGGTCGGCCGACCTGGTCGAGATTCAGCACGGGTACGCCGTCTTCGTTGACTTGGTCTTTGTCTCGTAGTCCGAGCCGGGCCATTTTCTTCGGGTCATCAGAGTGAACTTGGAATGCGCCGTTAACGAGTATTGCGATGACATCGATGCCCATGCCAAGATAGCGTAGCGCGGCTTTTAACTCGGCGGCGGTGATGTTGCGGCCATTGCGTGCGATGATGCCGTGGTTTGCGAGCGAGTTGAGAACGGGGCATGGAGCTCGTAGGTCGTCGGGTCCTGCGGGATGGTAATCGCCTTTGCGAAGGAGAAGTCCCTTAAAATCTGTGTCTTCTGCCATTTTTGACGTGATTGTGGGCAATGGACAAGAAGAGGTGAGAGGTGCTGGAAGAAGCACAGTATTTATGCCACTTGGCGGCTGAAATGTCAAACTATCAAGTGACCGGTAATGACAAGGTCAGATGAAAGGTGCTGTGAGTTGATAAGCTGATGCATGCCTTTTAATGAGCATCAGAGGCTGTCATCATTCGCTGGGGGCAGGTGATTGACAGGGGCACTTGGTGGTTACACAGCCGCACTCTATTGCCTCGTGTTTATCGGATGCATCATAACAGGTAAATGGACCAATCATATCCGATCTCAAGAGTCGCTTTGTCTGGTGAGTATTAAGGACTCTGCAGGTTGCACAGACCCTCGTTGCTTTTTCTCCATCATTGCGTTGCTCCAACTTTACACCTCAATTTTGGACTCTGAAACAAAGAACACATAGGAACTAGAATTAAAAATGAAGGTAAACGCTCAAATTTAAGACTACGGGAACAGCATATGTATAATAGATCTAACCAAACATCAACTAAATCGGTCCACCAATTCCTGTATCGACCGGTTCAGCTCATGCTCCGTCTCCCACCCCAACATATGCCCGGCGCCTTCAAAAACCTTCCATGTAATCCCCTCACCAATCTCCTCCTTCAAAATCTCCCCATGACGGAACGTAAGCATTCGATCCTCTGTCCCATGCAAAACAGCAATCCGCTCTCTGCCCACCGCATCCCCCAATGCCCTCAACTGCTCCGGAGACTTATGGTGAAAATAACACGCAGTCACTTGCAACAAGAAACCCTTGGGCGTATACGACACCGTATCCGCCTTCTTCCTCAAATGCCCGGCCGCAAAGCGATCCCTCTTCGTCGGAAAATTCAACGCAGGGTCCTCATTCTCCGTATCTGGCTGCACCAGGAACTCACTCGCAAACAGCGTCGCCGCGATGCGGTCGATCTCCACGTCCACATGCCGCGGGATGAACATGCTCGCGCGCTGCTGCAAGTTCTCAAAGAAGGGCGTTGTGCGTACGAGGCGCGGAGCTGTACAGCAGAGCGTCAGGCTGGCGAGTCGGTCCGGGATGAGCATCGCGACCTCCTGGGCGATCATGCCGCCCATGCTGGCGCCGATGACGTGGATAGCGCGTGTCGCGGGAGCTTTCAGGTCGATCCAGCCCAGCGAGCTGACCAGATCCACGGCATCGCGGGCCATCTCGCTTGTGGAGTAGAAGCAGGTGGGTTTGTCGGATTGGCCAATCCCGCGATTATCGAACACCAGACAGGAGTACTTCGAGCCGTTGAGGTGGCCGAAGTACTTGGTTTGGCGCTTCCAGTCTTTCAGGACGGCATTTAGGCCCATAATCCACTAATTGGCATTAGTATCGTACTTTCCTTAAAAATGATCCTTGCAGCGGGATTACTGCATGCGCGCAAGCGATGAAATACTGACAACTAGCTTCACGGGTCCTGTGCCATGGATCTCGTAGTTGAGGTTGAACGGACCACCGCGCCTGTTCTGAGCCACCAGGGCCCGTCCCGAGGTTGTGGGAGGAAGTTTCCAATCTACAGTCTCATATGCTGGATGAGCGATGATCTCTTGAGCTGTTAGACGTGCCATTTCAATGTTGCTGTCCAGTGTTAAGTTTACAGGTTATAAGATGCAGCCGACGCTCCCGAAGTCTGGCCGCAGTCCTTTTTTGGGTCTTGTTCCTTGTTTCTCTCTTGGCGCCCGACCCCAAGGCACGGTCACTAGTAACTGTGGGTCACGCGACCCTGTGATGCCCGACAACACAGTGACCTCATGTGAACTGTGATATTTGTGGGAGAAAGGTGAACAGGACAGTTTTCTCCTGGAAACAGAGGGTTTCTTTTTTTCAGATAGTTTTGAGATGTTGTAAGCGTTTGCCGCTATCGCACCTCCAGGTCTATCTCGTATCCTCGTATTGGCACCATCTCCTGTTGGGTTTAAGTAAAAATACATATTCATCTCGGCTGCAGAGCTTCCATAACCTGGGTTGCCTTTTGAGCTCTTTCCCGAGTCTGCGGACTCATCGAAGCATTATCTGAGACGTTGCTGAACCTTTCCTTGCACCTCTGCCAATTTTCCGTATCAATCCCTCCATCTTCTTGGGCCACAAGTCTCTGTCCGCAATGTATGACCCATTCCGCTGCCACAGCTATTCTACATACCAGAATAGATCTGGGGGAATCATCGACGAGCCCTTGCTCCAAATCTTCTGCTAACATCCCTTTGATCGCATATTTTGCGAAGAGAATCAAATCAGCAGAGCCATCTCTAGTCAAGCGAGCAGCATAAGCATTCAAGCTCTGCCAATGTCCACGCTCCTCCTCATCAGTCAGAGATACCATACCTATCAATCTGTCAATAGAAAGATCCGGATGCGCTCGCAGAAATCTGTACTTACGATCATATATTTCCCTGAACGTTGGACCTAGCATCGGCAAATCTCCCCACAAGTCAAAGGTCTGATCCCATGACGCCATGTAGACAGTTTTTGTCTGGGAAGGTAGATCTTTTAAGGCTTTTATCAGCTCTGCGAGTCTGTCCTGCTCAGGAGCAGTGTAGGGGATCTGCTGGGCCACATTATGAACCACGCCCCAGAAGTGCCAGAGAAAACTTCCTGGGTCCTCGCGGGGCTCGCCTGCAGGTTGATCCTCGTCAGGTCGGTTCGCAGGAAACAGTCGATCTAGCGCTTGGGCTGTGGTTGCGGAGGATGTCGTGGGATTTTGTAGGTAGTCTAGCAGGATCTTGAAGATTCTTTCTTCGATAAACCATGGATCGTCATCTTTTAATTCGAGATGAAGAGAAGACATAGTGAGATGGTAACTCCCTCTACTTTGGAGTTGAAAATGGTACTTTTAGCTGGTGTGATGGAGAAAGTGGGGAACAAAAAGACGAGGTGGGATACGGACTGCGCGATATGGGCCACAAGACGAAGACGAGAGAAGAACAAAGAACAGAAAAAGAGAATCAAAGTAGAAATGTATTGTTGACTCGAGACCTTGAGGCAAGTTGTTCTGACCCCGTCCACTTGGGAATCTGACATCAGGTCAGCAGTGTTTCAAATGGCATGTGTTCCTGGGGCCAAAATTGGCATCAGGCAACAATGAGGCATTTCCAACCAGTTGTCTTCTTCAAAAATTCTCACTGTCTCACCTGCAGGGGTAAAGTAGTGCCCTTTCAGCTCTTGACATGTTGCAATCCACGGTCTAGTCTTTATAGCTGACATGCATGAAGCTTGGGTCAGGGGTCTATTCCATAAACTAACGGTCAAGCCTTCTCTCTCTATTAGGTAACTTGCCCCAAAGGATCAAACATCTCATGCCTCCAAGATGACGACGTTACATTGACTTCACCAGCTCTCACTCGCCTTGGTAATTCAATGCCCGATTTACCCTGTAAAGGGCGTCTCCTGGCCCCAACTATTACCTCCACATACAGGGATGCTCATCCAACATCATCTGAGTTGCACAGGGGACAGAAAAAGCATTTTCGCGACAATCCCATGTCCCGAACCTGTAATGGCAGATATAAATGCTGTTGAATCCTCTCGCTTGTCGCAACCATATTAGACGACATCCTCACAATCGTCCTGACTGCGTCCAAGATGGTCGCAATCAAAAACCTTTTCCTGCTGGCTGCCACAGCCGTGTCTGTTCTAGCTGCTCCCTCGCCCCTCGACGCTCGTGCGGTAAGAGTCGCCTTAAACCGCCTTCGAGATGGTAACTAACATAACCCCACAGACCTGGACATGTATCAACCAGCAGCTGAATCCCAAGACAAACAAATGGGAAGACAAGCGCCTTGTCTACAATCAAGCCAAAGCCGAGAGCAACTCTCACCACGCACCTCTGTCCGACGGCAAGACTGGTAGCAGCTACCCGCACTGGTTCACCAACGGCTACGACGGGGATGGCAAGCTCATCAAGGGTCGCACGCCCATTAAGTTCGGGAAAGCCGACTGTGACCGTCCTCCGAAACACAGCCAGAACGGCATGGGCAAGGACGACCACTACCTCCTGGAGTTCCCGACATTCCCGGATGGCCACGACTATAAGTTTGACTCGAAGAAACCCAAGGAAGACCCAGGTCCGGCGAGGGTCCTCTATACTTATCCCAACAAGGTGTTTTGCGGCATTGTGGCGCATGAGCGGGGGAATCAGGGAGAGTTGAGGCTGTGTTCCCATTAATTAGATATGTATTATGTCTTGAAAGGTATTGGGCTGCTGTCACTCCTTTCTTCGACCACAAAATGCGTTTCATTTACCGCTCGGGTAGATTTGAGCGTCTGGGTAGTCGAAGAATCATGCCTGTTTATCATTGAAGAGCAAATTGCTGCAGATATTTCGTTCACTCACTGCCAGATATTTTGGATAGAGTGCTTGGTGTCACTCTAATTTCAGCTCGTGTTGGGGTAACATTATTGACTTAACATTTGCAACCGAGATTGGGAAGCTTCTAGCAACTAGTACACAGGACAGTCGAGCTCCTTGTAAGTGACCTAAATCCCAGCTAAAGGTATTGACCGCACCGTGACTGGTCACACAGGTTAAGTGGCTTACTCGTGAAGCCTCATGCACCCTCCGTGATTAAAGGCATAGTCTGAGCGTGTGAAGCCCTTCTCTAGCCATGTCTGTGGCATCCGACATGTGTAAGGCAGAGATGAAGGCTAGTTTGGCGGCATGTGAGTATTTGCATGAAGATCATTGGACCCTTAGCTATAGCTACTTAGGTAGTTTTCATATCGAGTAGTCGAAGCAGCTGAGACACTCCAGAAAGTGGGCGAGCCCTCTATCGCGGAGTCTTGGGTGAAGACATGACCACGGGTCAATCCAAATAGTCACTAGCACCATGACCGACTCGAGCATTCGGCTGAATGGAATGCATTTCCTCAATCTTCTCAAGCCGCCTGTGACCCTTTAACCTCTTGATCAGCATCCTGGATGACTAACGATAAGCAAATGGGTTGAAATAAGAAGCTGACAAGGGACTGAATTGATCCATCAACTGGCCCACGCGGTCTTTGCTGCTTCATCATTGGTCCGAGCCTATTGGTCTGAGAAACCCAAGCGAGCCAATCAACGTAGCTATTTGCATGTGGGCGGGTTCCATTCCTCTTCTGTAGCCCGTGCGAGTCCACCGAAAGGGTAAAGACTGTATATGCGTGCCTCAGGCGTCGCTTTGGCTGCCATTCTACTCTATACGCGACGATTGCGCTTCATCTCCACCACTCAGACACTACTACTGCTCGGTGTCGAGTTCACTGTTGATTGCCCAAATTACTTCACAGCGGTTAGGAAATGATGGTCTCCCCTTCGGTCTTGTACTCCGAATAGTCATGGGATGCTTTTCAAAGAACCTCTCATGGCTTTTGTCTGACTCACATAGAGCGTGCTATGCTGGAGAGAAGGGTGAAAATTGGCTTCTTGTGGAAATTGACCTCTTGCTGACACCGCCATTTTACTGGCCTTCAAAGCTTGGGAGTGTCCACAGCTGATCCGAGCGTTGCTAGCATGGAAAGAGCCCAATTCGTATCTCGCAGAGAACTGTTAAGGCACTTTCTTCTTGCTAGCCTCCGAGTCTGAAGTCGTTTTAGCCCTTGCCGCGCAGGTTAACACCTCATTCCTTTTTGGTCAGGCACGTGGGAGGGGGTCTGACCTGCTGACTCTCAAGTGAAAGAGCCTGATACAGTGTTTCTACTAATCCGCCTGAAAACCACAGCCCGCCGAACGCATGCAGGTGCTTTAGTGCCTGTAGCAGTTTCGAATGATTCCCACGGCTAACGAACCTTGTCTCTATCGCTGATCATAATATACAGCCTCCTAGAGCTGAACCGTCGAATGATAGGGCCATGATGCTTATTCCGTTGTTGTCAATGGTCCATTCGTCAGGACGTTATACTCAATATACTCCAGCGCTTCCAGCGGACCGCTACCTAGTGTGTCCCTGTGGAGGTTATGAGGGATAGGGACATTCCGTCCAATACCCCTTTTTCTTAGGATCTTGACGGTTATATACCATGGCCTCGTAGAGAATTGATTAGTTTCCCCCCTCTGCGGGGTGAAGGAATCTGCAGCAGGTATTTACTAACCAGGCTTATCACAAAATGGTCTTCCAGTGGGCATCACGCTGCTTGCCTGGCTTCAGTATCATTGCGTTGATTGTACTTCTTCGGTTGACCTCCAGTGATGCAGTCGCCCTTTGGAAATGGAAGAGCCCGTCGCCATCATCGCCAAAAGATACGCCGGGAAGTCAGCCGCAAAATCTCAACATGGCCCAGCAGTTGTTTGTCATATACACCGTCCTTGTCCATGTCAGTATGTTCGCCTTTACCACGCGTCTGGGGTGGACCCTCTCAACTGTGACCCGGAAGACAAAAGAGGCCCTCCAGCGGCGAAACTTCGCGCAACCTCGCATTTCTGTGGACAAAGATAAATGGCTCTCGGACACTTCGACACTCTCGGACACGGAATCGGATGTATCTGATCCACTGACGAGCGATACGGCTCGCGATTCTGATGGACTGGAGGTCATTCACGCAATCATCGTTCCGAACTACTGTGAGGATCTACATACGTTGCGGACTACCCTGGATGTTCTGGCGAGCCACCCAAGGGCACGGACACAGTATGAGGTGGGTGCTGGACGAGACTGTTCGTGCTTCATGCAACTAATATTGGATCTTCGCAAATCAGATATACCTCGCAATGGAACAGAAAGAAGCCGGCGTCGCCGAAAAAGCGGCTAAGCTTGCATCAGCATTCGAGCCGTCCTTCCGCCATATTCATGCTACCTTTCACCCTGCGGGTTTACCTGGCGAAATAGCAGGAAAGAGCTCAAATGTGGCCTTTGCAGCCCGACACATTATGGAAATTCACAGGGCTGAGCTGGACTCGGGACAATGTGATGTGATTGTTACGGTCATGGATGGTAGGTGTTGTTCCTTCAGTCTGCTCAATTCATAGCCCTAACCGGGGTTATAGCCGATACGCACTTTTGGCAGGATTACTTTACAGAGATCCGGCGCCTTCACTATGCGCACATCTCGGAAGCAGACCGGACTCTATATTGCTGCCCTATAATATTCGACCGCAATTCGCACGAGACTCCAGTTCTGGTCCGTTGCGCAGACCTACTTTGGGGATTCGCCGGTTTGTCCACCATGTACCCCGGGACGTGCGTTTCAATCCCAACATCGGTATACTCTTTGCCGCTGTCCCTGGCCGAGAGGATTGGTGGCTGGGATAGCGATTCTACTGCCATCGGAGAAGACATGCATATGATGCTCAAGTGCTATTTTGAGACTGCGGGCAACGTCATCACCCGCCCAGTCTACGTCCCCGCAAGCCAGTGCAACGTCTCGAGTGATACCGGACGAGGCTGGCGACGGTCGTTGGATACCTGCCGTGCCCGTTATCGACAGGCATTAAGGCATATGTGGGGTGCACTTGACTCGGGTTTTGCCGTACGGCGTACTATCAGCTACATTCGCTCTCATTGCCGCTGTCTCTTCTTCCGGCCCAGGCACCTTGCCCTGGTACATTTGCTCTGGGAAGCTCATTTCCTTCCTTGCCATCTGATCATACTCATGCTATTCTCTACTATCTATACTCTCTTGACGCCTGCTGCTGCCCTCCATCCAACCATGGCGTGGGCGTTCGAGCTTACCAACCTGCTACGCGCATCGTCATTCATTGGAATGAATATCTGCATTTTTCTGTACGAGCCATGGCATGCACTCTGTGTGCGCACGCGGAAAACAGATATGCAACAAGCAAATGTGGCTGATGCAGGGTTCTCAGAACGCCTCTGG